ATGCTTACTGATTACTCTCTTTAAATAATTCACAACAAATTTGTATGTAGATAAATATAAATTATTATAAAGTTTTTAGTGGCCTGTGTAAAATGCTTTTTTTTAAAAAGGATTTTGGGGGAATTCTTGGGTTCTGAGCTGTTTTATAAAGAATTTCCATGTGTATGTTATTGGCTCTGCCTGGACTGAAGTCTTTGTAAAACTGTTTCACAAGGGACAGTAATAGACTTTCTGTGTGGTTTTCATTGACAGGAATGAAGCAATTATGGGATGACCCATCTGCTATTAAGTCGAAACTGCAATTACCTAACTTTCCTTATTAATTTAATACAAGATCTTTGTGTGGGTTCCGGGGACCTATTGTGGGGAGAACAAGAATAGACCCACTGCCTGCCCAAAAGCATATCGTAAGAGTTGACTAACTTGGAACTTTCTTTGAAGTCAGAGTACATCTGCCTGAAAGTCTAGGAACAAACAGCCTGCATGCAGATTAGTCGGATCTGTGAAACCGATGTGCACCCAACACTCAGTTTCCAGAACAGGACTAGAGTCCAGAAGTGGACGAACAACCAGAACTTTCTGCCAGAGATTACAGCCGGTGAAAGCGAAAACGAAGAAGATGAAGAATTTAATGCAAGAGATTTGATTGCTAAAATTAATTATTCTGCTAATTGTGTTTTAAATAATTTTTCATGTGCAGATTCAACTGGATGAATCCTAAGCTTGGAAAATTTATATGAAAATTGTCTTCAGTAAATAGTAAGCAAATGAAGGATGCTATATAAACCAGTGGTAGATCATGTACCTCAGGCCCATTCAACTAAGATTACTCAAGGGCCCAAATGTTGAAAAATTTGGACCGTCACGGACCAGAGACCTGAGGTCCAGAATAGGAAGATCAGTAATATTATATAATTATCAAGTGATCCACGGGTCGATAGCTAAGTCTATGCAGCCACATTAGGCCCCCGGGCCGTCAGTTGAATAGCCCTGATGTAAACTCATATTTCTATAGATCAATCGGCACTCAGTGTATGATGTGGTCAAATTTGGGCTGCTACTTTTTGGGCTGCCACTTTCACCTCCCTGATTAGGAAAATGAACTCCTAAATAGAACAAACATCAAACAAAGGAACAAAAAATTTAGAACTAGAAAGTTTGATTGAAACATTATGTAAGAGAAATTATATCTATTGACATCACTATGAAAATAAATTGTACACTTTTTAAACTCAATAATAGCAAAGTATGAATGCCTCTAAGTACTTTATAAGTTTAACCGGAAGGACTTCCGGTTAAAATAGACGCTAAACAGCGGCGCCGTTCAGAACAGAGGCACATTTTTTGCTTCTGCCGGACGGTGGCCGATGCATTTTTGCTCCATTTGTAGACTGGATATAGTTTCGTCGCCCAGCTTCTGAGTTGAATGCATGGCGTGACCCTGTGAGCTGCGGATTGCATTTGGAATGTTTTTTTTTCGACTGTGACCAATGTGGTGTGAATTGTAGATTCAGAAAATGGCGCGATGCCTGTCGTTCAATGCTTGCGGGACCCGTATTAAAATTGATCACGCGGACAACTGCTGATCTGTTGACGACAAGTTCTGCTATCATCAATGATGAACTGCATTTCTAATGTTGGACTGTTTGTGTTAGCACTTCGGATGGCTACCATATGCTTTAATGCGAGTGTATGCTAGATATGCTGAGACAGCAGTCTGTCAATCTTTCCACAAGGGACTGTGATAGACATTCTGAGTGTTTTTCGCTGGCACAGGAGCGGAGCAAAGATGGGGCAACCCGTTTGCTATGAAGCTGAAACTAAGACTACCATACTACCATACTTTATAAGTACCGAAAGTAATAAATAATATATGTAATAATAGGTATATAAGCGTGCTAATGTTTTAAATATACAGTATGTGCATGTGTGTGTGTTTGTATCTTAGTACACGCATGTGTGTGTGTGTGTTTGTATCTTAGTACACGCATGGGGGGTTGTTTGATGAGCAATATAAAAAAAAAAAAACTTTAATACCATAGCAGAACACTGTAGATACTATGTAAATAGCTCATTAATATGCTGATTGTTTTGCTTGCACGCATCCTCATGCAAAAACACACACACATACATATGCAAACATCCCCATCTCACACAAAATGCAATATGCAGTAGAAAACAATAAACACATACAATAACAAACGGCAGTACTTGTAAATAAAATAATCCAATTAAAAACAGAAATGTCTGTAAAATGACAACTGTTTAAAAATAGAATTTGAAGAGGTAATCGTATCTGTCAAAAGACACAATTAGGACTCATCTTTCTGAATATAAAAAAGTTTAGTGAATACAGGTATAGTTATGTGCCAACAAACAATAATATCCAATAGTGAAGAAACTAAAGATATCACAAACTTGGTTTTATAATAAACAAAGAAACTGCTCAAAACATGTCAGAATAAGTTGATCATAAAAATGCAGTAACTAAAATGTACAACACCAGTAAACAAATAACAGTCAAACTATGAGAACATGCATCTTTCCTGTGGTAATATCATGAGTGTGGACTATGGATATGGACTATGTGGACTACTAATCACCAAAGAAGAAAAATGAAAACACCGTGAACTTAAATGTCATATAACAATGCTAAAATGCTGTGAAACACGAAAGTGGAAATTCCTAACATTCTATAAGATCTGAACAGTGAAGAAAACTGGTTCTTGAATAAGATTTAGGCTCCAAGAGATTTTTTTTGGGGTCTTGTTCACTAATTGTCTAAGAGTCACAGGCATTTGTTAAAATTGGCTCTATGAAACCTGCAACAATTATTGTTCTCCAATGACAATATTGATTTACTAAATAAGATGTTCGTTATGTTATAAAATGAAGCACATCCAGCTAATTCAATACCAATGAATGTTACTGTACATTTATGTTTGACCTATCTCTTTGATATTATAGTGTTTATATAATGTTGTGTAAGAGTACCTCTTAAAAGACACCATAGTCTGGTGATGAATTTTATCTCCTGAGTTCTTCTGCTTCTTCTTTGTGCTCACAGACTGTAAACTCCAGCAGAAAGTTCTGGGTGTTCATCCACCTCCGGACTTCAGTTTTGTTCCAGAAACTGAGTATTACGTGCACATCTGTTTCACATATCTCGCTTATTTGTATACAGACTCCTGGTTCCTTGCCTCTCAGACTGTGACTTTGAAGGATGTCCCCAATTTGTCGACATGCTTGTTAGGGAGGCAGTGGATCCATTCTTGTTTTCCCCACAATTGGAACCCGGAACCCGCACTGGGAATCTCTCAGTTAACATTTATGAGTTATAGGTTATTGTTCAATTATTTCCTGGGTTTTTACCACTATACTGACATTACAAATCATAAAGGGTATATTTTTATGTTTTTTAACTTAAAATAAATGAAGCATAATATTAAGTAAAAACTGATTCCTTAATGAGAGCTTGGAAATATCAGCCACAATTATGATTTCTTATTGTTTAAAAGTTAAATGCTTGAATCCCCACTATATTGTTACTTTAATACTTCTTATCCCGTCTTTGAAGTTCAGAATATCTATTTCTGAGTCCAAATGAGATAAACTAATAAAACGAGGAAACAGACCAAGTTTAATTATAAGTCGGGAAAAAAACACAGAAAAAATAGACAGCAAAAGTGAGTATTCCAGATGCAAGAGGAATAAATGCAGAGTAAGATGTCTTGTACTGAGAGAGTTAACTCTTTCAAGCCCAAGCAATGCAGTGGGTGCTGACTTTCCAGTTTGCCCAAACAACACAGTCTGTGACCAATCATGTGTCCCATACATACTAATTAGCATCCTATTCGATACTAGTTTTTAAATGTTTTAAACTATATTTAGAATATCAGGGAAAGTTACTCTAAGGTTTTCATTTGTTTACAAGTCTATGTGTATATATTTTGGCAAACAATTTTTTTTTATTTATTGAGGGCATCATTTACAGACAATTTTCTGTTTTCGTCTTTGACCGACCAAAAGTGCCTGCAGCAAAATACACCTTTCTGCCGCTGAAGCTCTGTAATTGATTTAGTGAGATGTTTTAAATTCTAATGATGATAATAAACAAATTTAATTTTTGAAAAGTGATTCAAAAGGTGAATTTACACCAAAGACATCTGAGACGTCAGCTGTGATGGAGAATCTAGCAGTTTTGATGAGTCTGACACAGAGGACCCATTTCATGTGTGTGGATATGACAGTCACCCACATTTGCCTCTAAAGGACGCATCCATCTGAGCAGTACCATCTGGGACTAAGCTGCATTGAAATCATTACAGCTACAGTCTGTATTTAACTGCAAAGATAATATTTTCTGTATACAGGTCCAATTTTAATGCAGTTTTTTTTTTCTTTCAAACTTTGCTCAGCACTCAAGAACCTAGACCATCTGAGTGATAAAACTAAACAGAAACTTATAACTTTTGAATCTGTTGAGAAAAACTAAATAAAATTGTCAGTGTTATTCTTAAATGTGGATATTCATTGTCTCTGAGGCTGCAGAACCATGGTAAGTGAAGAACTATATTACAACACTGTCATTGTAAATTAAACACCTGACGAATTCCTTTTTTTTCCCCCTGCTATCTATTAAAGCATTTAAAAATGGCATATCATTCAAATTAAAAATTTAAATTAATTCCTCTATAAAATAATTATATACTTGTGTAGGGATTAGAAGTATATTACATTCTCTATTGCCTTTATTTTACACCCCCCCCCCCCCCCCCCACCCCCCCCCTGTCATTTTTGTAAAGTGAAATTAATTGGAGCCACGTTTGTGAAAATTCAAAAGCCTGAAAGAGTAAAGATTGTCTCAGATTTCATGTTGATATTCAGTTAGCAACTATTTTTTTTTTTTTTTTTTATTAAATCACATACGAAAAATGTGGGTCACTGCATGAGTGTAGTTTGTTGTTGTTGACAGGAACCCTGCAGAACACAACACTTACCATGCAGGGGTCTTTGACATGGTCAGTATGCAAAGGATCAGTGATAGGCCTTGGTGGTGTGGGCAGTGCTGAACATTCAGCTGCATCTTTAGTGTGCTAGTTCATAAATAAAAAAAATTTGTAAAAAAATGTGCAACTGACATTCACATACTCCATAGTGGTTGCAGGCTTAACATGGGTTGTCTATAAATTCCTAATTTAATTTCAAACTTTCCAAAATGTGTGCATGCATTCTGCTACCTGAAAAGTTTGACACCCCGAGATCAGAATACCTCAATCTGGATGGCAGACCAATAGGATCTGAAGGTCTGACACTCTAAGACTAAAATGTCTCAGTGCTGGTGGCAGACCTAAAGAGCAAGTTCAGATACCCCAGAAGAAGTTATGCTTAGAGCACCCAAAACAGCTAGACCTACCAGGTGTAACCTGCAGTTTCTGGACTTTAAAAGCCTTGTTAAGACTTAAAAGTTTGCGTGCACATATATTTTACAGATCTGGCTTATTGTTGTGAACTAAAGCACCATAAAAGTGCTTATAGTTTTAAACGGCACTCTATAAAGTGAAATACAGCTGACAACGCAGGTACTGAAGACAATATGTACACACACAGGACAGTAAACATCAACTGATATATATTTAACTCATTTACTGCTCCAGCAGCTATGATACCTCCTCCTTGCCTACATATTTACAATTTTCATGGAGGAGAGATAAATGAATTTGTAATTTGGTGTTCTGTCTTAAACTCTTAATAATATAATCTAAATAAACACTTTTTTTAAATGAAAAAAAAATTAACTTCTATTATTTAATTTTAGTACATAATTTTTTGTTTTTTTTGTTTTGTTTTTGTAATTTAAATTATTTAAATCTTTTACTCCCATAAGTTTTCGCAATAGAAGGGAACAATAACCATAGTGATTAAAGTAGGAATGAAATACTTTCACAAATTCAGGAAATACAGAGCTTGTTAAAAGAAAACTGTTAAAACTAGACACGGTTCTCAGACTTAATATGAGATCACATCATGAGTTGCTGGATACAAACAAATGTTAGCTGATCAGACACAGCTGCATACAACAGAAAGAGTTTAAATTATCTCCATACACCACAGCAAGTGCAGATGAAACAGCTGTTCCAGATATAAAGGAAAATTTTTCATATTATTTATAATTTCAGTCACGGTATGATACCTGTACTGGCTATAAAACTGGTTCCTAGCTTTGTGGACTGAATTACCTGGTACTTCTAGCTCGTTAGCAGTTAAGAGTTACGAGTAAGGATCTAATAAAACCAGTCCCAATGGCTTTGTCACAAACATATGAACAGTATTAATCCTCAGGTACTGTGAATGCTAAACAGAAAATATGTCATTAACCCTAACTATTTACAGAAAGGAATGCTTTAAAAAAAAAAAACCATATCATGTGGTCACTAATATTTATTTTAAAAGATCTGTTTTACTTGTTTTAATAAAATTGTTTACCTAGATTTAAATTTTTTTTCTTGAAATACATAAAGATATATATATACATGAAGGGGTAATCAATAATTACAGAGTGAAGCGTTAAATGGAATACATCCCCCCAGGGCCTAAAATGAAAAACAGTATGCATTTGATGACTCGTGCTATGACCCTGTGACCTCCATCATTGAAGCTTATGGAAACATTTTGACATCAACTTGGCTTTAAAAAATGCCAGCAGTGTCATAACAAACAAATGCCTTTTTTAGTTACTAAAATTGTATCTATTAAACACTGCGCAGGTGCACACAGAAATCAATGGAATTTAATTGCTTTTTCAAGAACAGTTCACCTTAGATATAGCGATATAAAGGCATTTACTGGACTGTGCCACAACTGGAAGTGACTAGATTTAGTTTTGTCAAGATGAAAAGGGTAAACAACTTTAGGAAAATAAGTATGTATCTCAGATTTTCAGAAGGTATTGCCACAGACATTCAAACACAAAGCCCACAGCTTGGGAAGACAGCAGATACTGTCAACAAAGAAGACTTAAAAAAAAAAAAAAACCCTGTGACTTGAAATTTGTTTGTGTTTTTGATGATCTGGGATATTTCCATTCCATGCTGACTATTATTCTGCATATTTTAAAGTGGTGGGACAATGACTAATTGCCAACAACTGTTTGTAATAGAAACACATCAACATCTACTCTGCAATGCAAAAACAGTGATTTTAACTCCATGCATTCTTCACAGACAAGCAGTGGGATGTGTTTCTGAATGCCTATGGTGACTGCTGGGAATTGCTATGGTGTAGTGGCTAGATGCTCTCCTGCAGATCAGAAAGAAGGTCGTGGGTTCGGCTCCTGATGGTAACAGACTGTTTTCTCAAAAATGCCCACGGCTCCCAGGTCGACCCAGCCTTGAATGGGAACCAGGTGGAGTCCTTGGAGGTAAAGGGAGCTGGCATGATGCTGTCCATATCACCCACCAAGTGCTGCATGGTCTATAAAATATAGGTCTAGCCCTATATGCCCAAATGCCTAAAGGCATGAAAAAAGCCTTTTAAAATTTTTTTTTTTAAAATAGTGACTGCTAAGACAACAGGTGCCGGCTTGGTTCCAAAAAGTGGCTTTATTTAATTCTACCACATCTGTTATTATACCTTTTTCACATTTGTTTGCCAATAAAAGTTTGAGAACCACTAAAGGCAAGAAGCAAAAGTTAAATGTATTTAAAAGCAAATGCCTGAGGAAAATTTTGAACATAAAATTGGATGAATTCAACAGGGGTAAAGAAAAAAATAGATATTTCTGGGCAACCACTCGTAACCACAGTTATAGACCAAAACAAGATGGCACTATATCAGACACATCCTGAGAAGAAATGAGAAAAGAATCAACAAACAGGCATTAAAATGGGAAATAACAGGACTAAGGGAGTGAGGGTGTCCAAAAGAAATCCTAAAATAAACATTGATGAAAGAGGCCAAAGCTGCTGGACTGGATCCCATCCATGATATCAAAGGGATTGCACAGGAGAGAACAGAAGGGAGGAATAGACTGTCAGCCCTCAGTGAAACATAATGGCACAACAGGACAATGAATGAATGAATGTCCCTATGATAGGTTAAATCTGATTGTGCATCACACAAATAATAAAAGGCCAGCTTTTAAACAGAAAATAATGTGCTTGTAAATTACGCAGCACATGACTAACATTTTCTCAAAGTCTACATGAATAAACATAATAGGGAAGCACAGAAGAACACAGGGAGTTGCAGATGTTGCCAAATGATAGGATAGCTTGGCATGAGTCGACTAAAGGTTCATGCTTTTATAATCATTTCCCGTTATGCCTAGTGGCACATGAGGCTTCCGAGAGGACTTTCCATGCTTTCCTGTCCTGTGCAATCTTCAGTGCAGTTTTCCATGTCAAATATGCTGCACTCAGGTCACTTTCCATCGTTCATCTCCATGTTGTTTTTGGGCGCCCCTGTTTTCTCTTTCCCTCTGGTGTCCATGTGAGAGCTGTTTTGGCAGGTATATCAGAATTCATTCTCATAATGTGGCCAAGCCATTTCCATCTTCTCTTGGTAATCATACTGTCTAAAGTTTCTTGGTTTGTGACTTGAAGTAGTTTAGTGTTTGAGATTGTATCTGGCAAAAAAATTTTGATAATTCTACGTAGACGCGTGGTGGAAGGTGGACAGCTTGTGTGCATCCCTTTTGGTCATTCTCCAGCATTCCGCTTCATAAAGAAGAACTGGCAAAATGATGCTCTTGTAGAGTCGGAGTTTCATTCCTCTGCAGTAATTGTTGGATTTCCAGATTTGCCTCATCCTTCCAAAAGCAGCTCTAGCTTTGTTCAGACGTGACTGTATGTCTTCCTGTCCCTCCCAGTAGGGACACCACACTGCCAAGATATGTGAAATGTTCTACATTTTCAAGAGTTTGGATATTTATGGTCACTGGTTGTTGGTTTGGACTGCTTGTCATGATCTTAGTTTTCTTTGTATTTATTCTTAGTCCCACCATTTCTGCTGTGCTGTGTAGTCTGTTACTTTTTTCTTGTATATGTTTATGTGATAGGAGTGCTATATCAACTGCAAAATCAAGGTCCTCAAGCATGGTGAATGGAGTCCATTGTATGCCTCTCAATGTCCTGTCTACTGTGTTCTTTAGTATCCAATCAATCACAAGGTTGAAGAGGAAAGATGACATAACACATCCCTGTCTCACACCTGTATTTACTGGGAAAGATGTATTGTAATTTTTTTACTGCAGAAAAAGTCTTTATAAAAGAGAGCAATTATGTTGACTATTTTTTCTGGAATTCCATAATGTCGTAAAATTTTCCACAGACCGTCTCTATCGACGCTGTCAAAAGCTTTCTCAAAGTCCACAAATTTAATATATATACTTCTCTGCCATTCATTGCATTGTTCTAAAATGTTACATAGGGTGAAGATGTGCTCAGTTGTTCCTCTGCCTTTTCTGAATCCTGCTTGCTCCACTCGTAGGCATTTATCTACTCTTTTTTCAAGCTGCATTATGATGATTTTACAAAATATTTTGCTTGGTACTGAGAGTAGAGTAATTCCCCTCCAATAATTGCAGTCTGTTAAGTCTCCTTTTTAGGGGATTTTGACTATTGTTCCTTCAGTCCAGTCATCAGGCAACACTTCTTTTTCAAAAATGCTTTTATGGAGAGATAAAAAGCTTTTTTTTTAAACACCACGAAAAAAAATTCAGTAGTGAACTACTCCTGGAAATATGTAGGGATAACATTTAGAATATGAAAAGGAAAAATATAAATTAAAACTACTATTTCAACTCTGAATAGAGGTTGCAGTGTGCCAAAACAAAAACATATGGAAGCTTCTACTTAATACTTTGAACCAAATATAACAGCTATTAAAGATTACTAACGATAATGTCTAATCACCTGACTACAGGTCTCGCAGTACCAATGATTTCTTCAGTTACTAATTAGTGCTTTGAATGCTAATCACACAATACCAAAGACTGATAAATACTACACTTTGAATATTCTTAAAGAGGTATCGCAGTGCTAAATTTTGTCAAAAAGGTGATGCCTCAAGTATTAGTAATGGTGCTGTGTTCAGCAATGTATAAAAGTGCCATATTCTATAGACTTTATATAACTTTGTATAACTTTAACACGCCATGCATGTAAAACAAGTACAATAATTATGCAAGCTTAAATGTACACATGTTGTTACAAGATGATGGTGAGTCATATACACTGATACCCACCCACAAAAACATACAAAGTGAAACCCAAAAGTTTAGAGACGACCATTAAAATACACAGTTTTTTATGCGAACAAAATAATTCCTCTTTAAACAATAACCTGTTTGGCATTTTCCTTCAAAGTCTCCTAAATTTGTATTTTTGCCATCCACATTAGCAGGGCTTTCTTTCATGTTAAGCTTCCTTGTCACTGCACACTAAATTTCTTCTAATTTTTTAAAATGTCATTTTTAAGGGAGATTTTAACTTAGGGAAGAGAAACAATCAGCAGATACAAGATCTAGTGAGTAAAGTGGGTGGCAGAGAACAGCAATGGCACTGTTCTCCATAATTTTTTTTTTACATCTGCAGCATTAGTATTTGTTCCAGCAACGAAAAGGGCGGCAGAGACTAATTCTGGCATAAGTTTTCACATCTTCCTTTCTGCCTCAGAATTCAAGCATACCACAAATATATAATTAGTATAACTCATGGCAGAGCAACCATGAACCCTATTAATTAGTCTGAACATTTCCACAACCCTTTTACTGGCTTTAATACAAAATTTAATTGAAATTCTGCTGCATAATAACACCATTTTCAAGGGTGCTGAACAGAAAGCACTGAAACTGAAGCCTATTTACCCGCTACATGAATCATACCACTATATAGTTACAGTGTCAGCCACTAGGCACAATACTCTTTTAAATATAACCAATCTCAAAACATTTGGGCCACACTTAGCACAGTACAAAAAAGTAAAGGATCCTTTACAATAACACCTATAAACATACAGCATATACAAGAAAATGTTTTCTTCATGCCTTCTGGTGTAGTGTAAGTAGGGCGCTAGCCCTATATGTAATAGATCTCTCCTGATAAGTCATTTGATCAAAGTATGTTGCCAAACTTTATTCCCTGAACATAGCCTGGTAGCTCTTTTAAATAGAGGTAGAGCCAAAAGCCCGGGTCTATTTTTAGGGGGTCCTGTTCACATTTTCAGGTCAAGGATTAGGGTAACGTCCCTTGCCATTCATGCCTCCTTAGGTTGCAGGACCTCTCCTATGTTGCGGCACCATGGAGAGATGAGGGCTTGGCTTGGCGTTCGCCATTATGTAATGTTAGTGGAAGGTTGTGCTGTTGTGAGTCTATTTCAGGCACCTGTGTGCAAGTAAGAATTACTGCAAGGGAAAGCGACAATTCTTGCCTACCAAAACTGGGATGATTAGTATTTCTACATTTGTTGGCAGTGGCTTTCCCCTGAGAGAAACAAATCAGTAAACAAATCAGTTACAAGGAGCCTATGAATATACTCCAGAATCACTGCACAGGTAGCAGAACCTGAAAATAATCACACAAGCAAGCGGTGAGCAGACGTGAAAAGAGGCAGCAGTTAAACCGTTCACAATAAGGAAAACATGACTCCCTGAAAAATAGAGAGGTCCAGGAGGCATGAATGGCAAGGTTAGTTAGTCTAATCCTGGGTCTGGAAACGTGAACAGCACCTTTATATTTATGAATGTTTAGAACATATGGTCTTTGGGGTGACTGACCACTACACTACTTCCTTGGTTAGCTTTGGATGCATAGTTAAAGCCAAAAACATGTATTACTACTTCTTGAGTTAAATAAACTGTATCAAGACAAAACAAACAGTACTCTTGTCAATTCTGAAATGAAGATATCAATAATCACTACGTATTTCTAGTTCATAGCACTACATGGCTCTAAAAACGGATACTAAACAGAAGAGATTAAAAGAACTTAGAAGTTAAGAAAAAGTACAACAGAAAAGAGAGCAACGGAAAATATTTTAAAGACTTTAGAGAAAATTTACAATTATTTAACACCATTAAAAACATAAACATTATCTTGGTGGTTTGGGCATAAAATGACTTATTTTTTTCTAGAAAACAAGTGCTGATGCCCACTTAAAAAGTGTATATTTACAGTAGCACCTGAAAATATTTATGCTTTAAAAAAATGTGGGTACTGAGTATAGCCGCTGCAGTATAGGAGTTAGGTTTCTCTTATAATCTAAAAATAAAATTTTCACACGGTTATGGTTAGCTCTTTCAGTTGCAAAGCATACATCTTACTCTACGCTTATTAGTTGCTCTACACATGGAAGAGAATTCATACTGTAGGTTAATTCAAGTGGTTACTTTAACACATCCTGTCATATTATTTACTCAGTGAGACACAAACAGTGTTATCGTACAGTACATAAACTCTTGCACAAAAGGTAGTGATGTAAGACTGTCTTAATATGCCTGAGGACAGGATACCCAGAAAAGGTAATTAATTAAATTTTCACACATTAATTTAAACTAATAAGGTTTAACAGCTTTCTCAAAAGGATCAACTTCATCGCACTGAGTTTTTTTTCCATATGGCTCAGTCTCTTTTTCTCTCTGCAGAGTAATTAACCACCTGTCAAGATTGACATACAAAGCACAAACAAGTAGCTCCAGCAAGGATCACCAGCAATCTTAAAAAAAAAGTATAATCAACGTTCTTCAGAGCAATGGAGATCTCTTGGAAAATAGTTTTTAAAATGGAGAATTGAGCAGTAACATATCATATGCATAAAGGCATATGCTACAGTACATACCTGAGTTTGGCAACCTTCTCTGTCCCAGTGCTGACGATACCAGTCGAGCCCATCAGAGCATCTGCCTATGGTGTTGCACCAGCGGCAATCAAAATTCACTCCAACATGACTAACACAAGTACCACAATCCGCAAGCCGGTTACAAGCTGCAAAGGCACTAAAAGTCAAATGTGAAGTTGAATGTATTCAACGCGTCATAAGGTCCCTAATATATATAACACTGAAAGGATGGACAGGACGCATAGGATAGAGTATCGTGTTCACCTACATTTGCAATATGTGGTTAGGACATTCTTTAAAAAAAACTATGGTTTCTACAGTGATCACTTCCTCTGTGTATTCAGTTATTTCAATAACATACACTCATAATTCTTTGTGGTGGTTATACACCTTGTGGTATCTGTTAAGAAATCTGCTGGGGCCAGAAAGAAAGAGTTCAGTCAAACAGGCCTTAGACTGGTAATGAAGTCATCTGATCATGTTGTTCCACTCTCTCAGCAAATCTGTTTATGTTTATTCAACGGATCAACATAGTGGCACACGGGTATGTAACCCACAAGTGTTAAATTCTACTTCTAACTCATGCCTGAGTCGGAAGAATTTCAGCGCAGTGCATGAACTCTGTTGTACGGCCAGGATCCTGAAATACTTTTGGTATATTTTTAACTCCAAATTTTGCCCGGGCAGTGCCATTAGGCTACTCTTTTTTTTTTTATTTCCAACTGCCAATACAGACGGGCGTCCGGTTTCATTACCAAGGGAAATTACTAGAAGTCCACATTTTAAAAAATCCCAGTAACTCTGTTATCTCAGTAGGTCTAAGCCCTAGCATCCTTACAGGCTTGTGTGATGTTTTTTTTCCCCTAGGATATCTTTTTGTTTTGCTCTGAATCTTCCTTTCCAGTACTTTCCTGTCTGATATTGTGACCATCATCATATAACAGATTCTTTGCATAATGTCCCTCTCATCATAACATGCCATAGAGCTACTCAGTTCCCTGTCAACTTCTTGTTTCATGAACTTTAACGGAGGCTGTATATGCAGAATACATCAGCCATAACCAATGAGTTCTCATTACTCTTGCATCCTTCTCTAGCAATGTAAAATCTATAGCTATGACTTAAAAGGCTTTAGATGCCAATAGGCTACCTAAGTGGCCTCTTATTTTCTTTGTTTTTTTTTGTTTGTTTGTTACTGTGGTGATTTGGCTACATTACACCTATAACATCTCTTACAGTATGTGTCCATATCTGCTGTAATTCCTACCCTAAGTATTTACAAAACAGGACCTCTTCCCTGATGTCTGATTCTATGTACCAATTTGCAAGGATTCTGGCGCCACCACATGTAGTACTCCTGCTTCACCTGCATCTTTACCTTTCTAGCAAACATTTGGACTGATGCAGCAATTTCTTAGCCTGTATGGTAAACCTTTAACATCCATAATGTTAATGTGACATTTACATGGGAAAATATCAAATAAAATGCAAATACATATGTCATGTCTATGTAGTGGTATCAATTCTTCTGATGAGTATGATGGTAGAGGTCTGGTACTGATAGGGGTGTTCTTCTTCACCTTCAACTTCTACTGACATAACACTGGCTTTCAAAGCCAAGTTATCTAATCCAACAGCACTTTTCTTATTAATCAGATCATCATTTATCATCAATCCTAACTCAGATGAAAGGGGCGTGGCACCAATGTGAATGTTTGCCAGCACATCCTGCCCTTCATCCACTGAAACCTTTTTTCTAATAATTGGTAATGAGACAGACAGTCTATCTTACCATTAGCTCATATCAGTTTTTGTTTAATTTTGTAAACAAACACAGGCATGTGCGCCATCCATCTCTGTTCAGTTGCAATTTTTCAACAGTCCTTGTGGCTGTGTACATCTCTAATTAGCAGATAGCTTTTGAATTTCTCAGCGCCCATTTAAGACTTGGTAGTTAAAATTTTGAAACACTTTTCACATTTATTTCTTAGGGGCGCAGTATGCAACTGACATAAGCTAATACTCTTTTCCGACTTTCCTGTATATGTGACATCAGGCAGCTCCTTCAGTCATAGGATGTGCCAAACTCTAGCACAAAGAGTAAGAAGAACACTGGAAACCCTATAAGTTGTGGTAAAGTTAACATCCCCTTCAAATATTTCAAATGCTTTTCTGCCCTCTAAGACCATAGCTGTCCTATAAGATTTCTCTTCTTAATATCTCTGCTCACTCACTGAGTTGGGCTACCAGATCATGGAGTGGCTTAGCAAGGTAGGGGAATCTGAGTACAAACCAGCAATATTATCTTGCCATGCCCAGGTAGGCTCTCAACTATTTCTGCATACTAGGGATCTGTGTGAGATTGCAGTTACCTTATTTTCAATGGTCTCTATCCCTCGGTCTGACAATGTATGGCCTAGAAAGTGTACCTTCTCTCTAACGAATACATATTTAGAGGAAATCAACTTTGACCATAAATTCTGTACCCTTTTAAACACTATTTTTAGCAACTTCACGTGCTTTTTACATCGTTTAGAAAAGACCAAGGTATCATCTACATAAACTAACCTTATTTTAAACATATTGTGCACTGAAGGCTTCATGAGTCATTGGAAGGTAATCGCACTGTTGCCAAACCTCACTGGAAGTTCAGAAAACTTGTACAGACTGAAGTTAGATGCCAGTGCAGCCTCCTCCTGATCAATTTCCTCCATGGGTAACATCTACCAGCCATGTCGCATGTTGAGAATAACTTTGATCTCTCTACCCCCAATGCATCAAGATACTCATGGGAGTCTACTCATGGGTGTAGATAGACATCTTCCTTAGTCTTGTCATAAAGTGCCCTATAGTCTACACACATTCTAAACTTCCCGTTCCTCTTATGAACTAATACCATAGTGGAAGCCCAATCACTTCTGCTTTCTACTATTATCTAATAATATCTCTAAATATTGAATTCCTTCATTATAAAAAAAAAGGGGGAATTCTACACGGCTGTTTGATGGGAGTGGTATTTATTCAATGTTACAGTGTGTCTTACTTTGACATAAAGAGTATCATCTTTGGAAAACAAACTATCGTATTTCATCAAGAACCCTAGGGAATTCAGACACTTTCTGCTTTCTATCACCCAAATGAGCAGTTCTCTCAATTTCCTGGACCCCATCACTATAAAATGTCTAGTCAGGTCAACTGCCGCCTGGGAAATTTCCCCTACCTGTGTCCCCTTTGACAAAAACAGATCTTCAATGGCTAGGTTAACTGTTTGCACCAAACACACAACCTGCAGCAAAACAGTGCAGGTGGGGTTCATAGCCTAATTCACCATTTCTTTTCAAGGGTTTTTCTATGTATTTTTTTAATGCGTGCATATCCGCTGGGATGTCCTGACTTACCAGTGCAATCCTAACCCAAACTACAAAGACTAATGTAAATGAGCAAAACTCCAACTGGTGTAACAAAACAAAACTAGATTCAAAATCGCATAACAATAAGACATTTGTTAGGAAGTTTACAAGTTGGCAAATTATTAACCCTGATTCAACCTAAACATGCCTAGTTGTTGAATTCTTCTGTAAGTGAAAGAAGAAAAAATGTTTCCTATCCTGTCGTTGTCAATGAATATTATAAATTCTTTATTTAATCATACATTTTTACAAACAGTTCTTCAATGTGCCAGCAGACTTTAGCCAGAACCTCGGTGACTGGCTATAAATTCATATAGTTCCCTGCCTAACTGCTTCTAGCAGTGAATGGTACATTGATTGTTTAAAAATAAGGTTCCTACGCTAAGTTTTTCCAAGCTTTCTTACCATTTAAGGTGACTAAATCCTAAGCGTTCTTCTACAAGTTTAAGTTTACTCCTAATGTGTGTCCTCTTCTGAGTTTCCCTCTGATTAAAATGCTAATTCCAAACTGTACATCCTTAGTTCAATGGCCTGTAGGCATCCTTTTTCTCTTACAAGCATCTCTGTTTCAGTTTTTACCGAGGTCAATGCACTGTTCCTTTATGGCCTGTGCCATAATCTAGATACTGGTGTGTGCGCGCGTGTGTGTGTCTCTCTCTCTCACCCCCCCCCCCCCCCCCAGTCTGATTTCACAGCAACAGTCTATTTCACTACAATAAATTAGCATGTCCCTTTTCTAAGTTCTTGGTTTGTTTTTTATTGTGTGTGATTTTCATGTGAATGTTTTTTTTTTAACTATCTATCTTTCCCTTATTTTCTGTTTCTGTCTTTCTAAAAGTGACTTGTCAAGGATTGCACTGTCCCATTATGAAAAGGACTGGGCTCAATAATTTGGCTGTAACTGATGGAAAAAAGAGGAAGGGGAATACAAAGAGAAAAAAAAGATACTTGGATAGCCTGTCATATGGATATGGCCAGGCAAGAGCCCTCATCAAAGATTCTGGTGACTACCTGTGCATATCAGCGGGGCACGTGACGATGATGATGAGTTCTTTGTACATATTTTGAAATGCAAGGTTTGGAAAGCAACGTTGTTGCAATCAATCCTCTTTTTTTCTGGACCGTACCTTCAAGCGATTTTAATGTGTTTGTTTTTCTGGCTATGCTGACAAATATTTATGAACAGTTATCTAGTGGTAATTGAGAAATTAAAAATAAATACAAGATGCTTACTGGGTAAAGGTGTCAGGATAATGACTGATCCATTGCTCACTGAGGACATGGGCAGAGCAACCTTGTGGTACTCATAGATGGTCCTTCTCTTTACGTCTTAGAAAGAATAGAAGAAAAACACAGCTAATGTCAAATTATGCATAAGGTCATAGAGAGAAAGTACATGAGATGGCCTCAAAAAATGCACAATGTGGAATATGAGGGGAAGAGAAGAAAGAGGATGAGAAAAAGAAGAAACAAAAAGAAGAGAGTGATCGTTCAAAGATGCAGAAGAAGAAGAGAAAAACTAGGGGGAGGGGGGAGGGGGGAGGAGAAAAAGAATGAGGAGAGTAAAAAGAAAGAAACAAGGAGAAGAGGAAGAATAAGAAAAAGAAGAAAAAGAAAAAGAAGAAAAAGAAGAAGAAGAAGAAGAAGAAAAAGAAAAGAAAAACAAGAAGAGGAAGAGAAGGGGTGGGGTAGGTGAAGGAGGAGGAGGAAGATTAAGAAGAAGAAGACAGAAAAATGAGGAAGAATCTCACAAGATGTTGTATGTTGTTATGTCAATGTAGACAGAATATTACTTTTTACTAACATCTCACTGCAAACAAGTAAAGGACAATAAATGAAAAAAATAAAAGTTACAAAATAATAATAATTTTAACTTACTGTACTCTGGAATGTATGTATCATTATAATATGCATCAGACAATCCAACCTTGACTGGATGTTCTCGGGTAGAAATATTGCTGACAGGCAGGGGTACCTAAGGAAAAATTAATAAAGATGCTAACTTCTTAGATGCAGAAAAGGGAATTCATTAAGACAAGCTAACATTTACAAAGGTTTTAACTGAATTATTTTAGGCTGTGGCCTGAATAATTAATCAAACCAGAATTAAATTAGCAACAACTAAATTTCCAACTTGTGTGTTATTTTGTGAGGATCAGTAAGTGGTCCAGAAAGAGCAATTATGAAAGGTAAGGTTTGTGGAAGCAAAGGTAAAGTTTGCCAACATAGTGGCACAGGGGTACACTTGGGCGTGAAAAAGTATGAGCAAAATAACTGAATATTTTGTTTGTTAGTTTATTACTCTATTAATGAATATTTATTTGCTTGTTCATTACGCCAACACTGAATCTTTGCTTGTTTGATCATTACACCAACACTGAATATTTGCTTGTTTGATCTTCACTCCAACACTGCATATTTGCTTGTTTGATCATCACTCCAACACTGCATTTTTGCTTGTTTGATCATTACACTAACACTGCATATCTGCTAGTTAGATCATAACTCCACCAATAAATATTTTGTTCATTAGTTCATTTCTTTAACACTATTTACTTCTTTGTTGATTATTCCAACATTGAATATTTTGCTCATTACTCAAACACTGAATGTATGAACTAAATCTGCAGATTTCCATGGGTTCTTAACAAAATAATTAATGTCATTAAAAGCAAGCACTTTGTAATGATTAAATAATAAACCAACCGATTTGTAAGCAAATTTAATCAATCCATCCCTGGTGAGGATTGTTTGAAAATGAAATTTTCCACCTGAAAAAAAAAAAAAGCATATTTGGGTACATCAATAAGTTTTCAACATGTTATTTATTACATCAGGTACATTTATCATTAAACTCTTTCAGTCCTTAACAATGCATCATATGTGAAAAACTATTGCCCATATATACTGGGCAACTCATGATCTTCTTTTTCTTCTTCTTCTAGGTTCAACCAAAGATGTAAATGTGTTGTGCTCATTTACAAGGTGGCTGTGATATTTGCATCTTTCGGCCAACACATCTGACTTCTTCAGGAATTTGTTGTCCAGTTAGCCTTTCTGAAATTCATAATCTTATTTGACATTTACAAGCAAAAAACATGGCCACTTATTGTGAAATGCAACAGTTTATGTTTCATACAAAGTCTATACGAGCTATCTTTGTTAAAATAATGCATTCTGCATTATTCACTGTAGTAACTATTTATTTTTTTTATTTTCTGTTGAAATCTTCTGGCACTGAAGAGTTAAACAATTTGACTTTATAACGCTTCTTCAAGGCTCTCACTTGCATCTGTCATACCAAACATTATTAATTTTGTGTTGGCATCTGACAGTGCCATTATATTAAAAGGTCTCAAATTAGTTGTCTGCAGTTTCATATTTCGGTAGTCTCATCAGTTCTTAAATGGAGCATAGTTTCCACCTTTAAAACATGACCAAATCATTCTGAACACTTCTTTTTAATGTCTGTCACGTTTTTGTGTCTTTGCCAACTTAAAAAAAAAATTATAATAATCAATTCCTGATGATAATTTTAACAATGTTCTAAAATTCAAATTTCTATGATTTCAAGGAATTTTCTACAACACAACCTTTATGGGCATTAAACAAAACATCAACAAAACAAAAAAAATCATTAACTCCTAGCACATCTAATGCCAAATAATTGATCTAAAGTTCAAACAGAAACACTTCAGAAGCCACACCACATGACACACATGGGGTTAATATCTTTGTGCAGTTTTAAAATAAACTGAATAGCTTACTGAGGTATATTCACATGCTCGTTTCCTCAGATCATCCGTTTCCCATTTCAGTGCCTGGCTATTCTCTATTAGGATGTACCCATTATATCACCATCTTCTTTATCTTATAACTATTGTTACCAGAATTCATCATGTCAGCTACACATTTATGTGATTTCTTCACTTTTCTTGCTTTTCTCCCATTTAATGTTCTTCAGGGTCCCTTTTTCTCACCTACAGGGTGCTAATAAATCCAAGCTTGAATGTTTACACTGAAGTAAATGAGTCTACAATGAAATAAAGAGATGGCCGATCCTCTTACCTGAAGCCTGATCCTTTAGCATAATGTCCTTCCATTCCACAACAAAATTATTTTCTGAAATCAGATATCAAGTACTTGTTTTGGTGACATTTATATGGTTTTCACTTTTATAAAACGCTAAGAAAGTAAAATATACCATCTATTTTTTTCTTTACTGGATGGTTGAGGGAGAGGGCTGGAAGGGAGGGGGGGTGGGGAAGAACAACTTTTTTCATATGTCACATGTGTATACATACGTAAATTCTATTTTGGAATATGCCTTGTCTTTATTATGAATCTTCTGCTTTCTTTTACTGCTGTTCATCTACCAATGAAGGGATAGGTCCACAATCAACTCATACCAAACAATCTATAGGCTTGTTTACGAAAAGTTAGATTTTATAAAGTGTTCTACAAGACAAATAGCTAATGTAACCCCAACCCTTCTTACTGATGAAAACGATATGACTGTCACCACCATAAAATCTTGTGCTGGAGATCTAGCCACAAGTTTCTCTTTGGAAAATCCCTTAATTCAAAGTTTAGGTGTTCTGATTGTTTGTGTCTGCATTATTTAGATTCATTATGGGAAAAACAATGTTTTGAAAATCATACCTATGTCTGGTAACCTGTGAGTATTGTTGTTAAGTATGTCAAGAGTGTTAAGCATGTGAAATCACAGTGATGTCATAATGAAAGTTTCAAGACGTGATTATGTATTTCCTGGCTTCATGTTGCCTTGGTCGTCTAAAAGTTATTCCTTTATTTCTTTAGCCCTGTGAGTTATAGTGCTAGAATATTCCAATTATATTGTAATCAAGCTTTCTAAAAGCATGTCCTATCCAGCATCAGTATCTATTCCTCCTGTCTTGATTCACTGAAATTAGTTTTGTTCTCTACCAAAACTTCATATTAGCGTGTCATTAATATTAATATTCACTGTATTCAGTGACGGTACAAGTTGATGTAAACCACATGTGCTTCTCTTCTTCAACTCTTGATCCACCAAAATCTGTTTTGTTCTCTCTCAAAGATTAACTCTTTAATATCCAAGCAACGGTGTCAGCGTTGACTGAGAAGTTCCATTTTGCCCAAACGCTGTCCTCGTTGATCGTGTACCCCTTACATTTTGCATCGCACACGGCTCGGTACTTGTTTCTAATGTTCGGAATAGTCACTCTGCCAAAATCCTTACAGATACATTCCCTATCAGAAATCACATGTGCATATTTTGAACGGATTCACAGCGACATTTTTTCAACAGTGCATTTTCTAAGTCCGTTTTCAAGTGCCATGAATACCAATGTTTCAACCCCAAGTACAGGTCGCAGAATGCGTCTTTCTGCGACCGAAGCTCTGAAATTGTTTGTCAGATGTTTTTAATTCTAATAATGATAATGAAAATTTAGACTTCTCAGAAAGTGATCCAGACAGTGATGTTTCACCAGCGAAGCTGAGGGATCATCTGTTCTAAATCTAGCGATTCTGATGAGTTTTGTACACAATGTCCCACTGCTACCGTATTTATGGTGTAAGAGAAGATAGGTGCTCTAAACAAAGAGATTGTACCATACTATGGTTAAAATACATTGAAATCATCACAGTTAGTCTGTATATAACTGTACAAAGTACATAGTAAATAGCGTGTGTGTAATGGCTCATTTTTCTTCAAATTTTTTTTCTGAAATTTTTCTCAGCACTCTATGAGAACTAAGAGCTCCTGTCGTGTGCGGATGTGCACCAGAACGCACCAGTACTGAGTGAGCAAATGAGACGTCAAAACAATATGTCAGGTTGTGAAGGAATTGTATTCTAGGAGTCGATGTTTATAGTCCGAAGGAGACGGACGTGTGGATCCTTGAGGACGCTTTACCCCGGGATCCCACGGAAGCAAACGTTATATAAAGTTGGATCCTTGAGGACGTTTTACCCCGGGACTCCAAGATAGACCTCAGCAGGAAGCTGGTGAATGTTATATTTCGGCAGTGAGCCGGTATACCTTCATTATTTAATTCAGACGGGTGAACTGAATACAAAGTTGATTGTCTGGATCTCAAGGTCGGACCTGCGACTATCGTGAGGACATATCAGTCCATGGATGTACAGCGAGCTTTGGGTTGATGTGCTTGATTATTAATTGCATATGTATCCTTTTGTGTTGATCCATTGGCACTCATTGTTTCTACAACCGTTGGATAAACTTAACGCATTTTCGAGCTCTCCTTTTGAAAGCATTGAACTATTTTTACCCCTACAGCTATTTCATCTTGGTACGACACACATCAGTCTGAAGCGCCTACGCATCCCACAGCCCCTGAGTGCTAAACTAACCCAGAAACTTATCATAACTTTGGAATTTGTTAGAAAATTGAACAAACTTTGAAGTTTTATTCTCAAATTTTGATATTCACTACTCGTGTGGCTGTAAAATTATGGTAAGTGAAGAATTTGTTTGTAAAATGTTGTTGTTGTGAAATTAACACCTGCTGAATTCTTCTTTCCTCCTAACTATAAATAAATTAAACATACAATTATCATCAGATTCAATATGTCTCTTTAAAAAAAATATATACTTTTATTAGGATTAGAAGTATATTACATTCTCTATTGCCTTTCTTGTACACCCACCCCTCTACCGTTTTTGTAAATAGAAATTAATGTGGGCCAAGTCTGTCAAAATTCATGGGCCTGAAAGAGTTAATGCTAGGTGAGACGCTAAAACTGCAATTAAGTGAAATACTTGGTTCATATTCTACTTCACTTTTTCTTCAAATGAAGTGAGAAAACAAAATGGACTGAGGAAAATGGATGGAGGAAACAAAATGGATTCAGATAATGAGGATTTCCTAGAGAAACTCTGAAATTAACACTAAAGAGAGGCCAAAAGGTATCCCATCCATGAAATCGAAAGGACTGCATAGGACAGTACGGAATCGTGAAATAGACTGAGGCCTAAGTGATGTATACAGAATCCTGATGATTTCTCCAAGCTACTTCTAGTAATCTATGTGATGGAATTTCTGATTGGAAATTGTTCTTAGGTAATAAGTCTAATTCTATTTAAAAAATAGCCCCACATTTACAGACACAAACACACACTCTCACTCTCTCTCTCCCAAGCACTCCCCCGCACATATGCACACACAAGCACACACACACACACACACAAGGCTAATTAGAAAGCATTTTTAGCACAAACAGCAAGAGTTGATGCCATAATCAATAATTTCAAACCATGAAAAATTAATAAGAAAAGTGAGAACAAGATAGGCAACAGTTTAAATTAGTAAACATAAAAAGCGGTAAGCAACCAAGGAATAATACAGTAGCCATAGTAGCAGCCAATGTTTCAACTGCACTGCAAACAGGTCATCCCCATAACTTATATTCCTCTGACAGTGAAAATCACATGAAAACCCCTTTAAGGAAGCATACATTTTTTTTTTAAACTAGTGAAGAAACAATGAGTCCTTGCAAAAATCCACAAACATACACACACAGTAAATGCATAAGGCAGCAGCAACTAGAGATGCTAAAACTGACAGTTAAATCTTAAATTAAATTTGTCGTTGATGGAAGTAATCAGTTATGACAAGTGGTTCTACACACACAATATTAATGCATATGGCATTTAGCCAGCCTAAATGCAAACCAGCCACCTGTCATTTTCTGAATATCATGACATACAAACCACTGTGGACAGACTAAAGGCATTCCAAATGAAATACAAAGCTCACCTAGCACTTAACTCAGTAGCTTAGGGGACAAAAGCATGAACTCCAGACCATATGAGAAAACTGTAATAGCAACCTTAACTAGAAGCATATAAGCACTTCAAGGTTTTAATGGATTGATGGATTATCTGCTCCACTGGACCAGACCAAAACAAAAAATAAATAATAACGTGGTAATTCTTAACTACCAAAAAAAAAAATATTTTAAATTAAAAGACTTATAAATGTTCCTACTGTCGCTACGCTGATATATGCTCGTCTGTTTATTCAAGGTAGGATCGAAATTTGCCATCAATGGAGCAATGTACTGAGTTGCTGTCAGCCATTGGTGAAGGAAGGGGCTCATATAGATGAAACCTGAAACAGTTCATACAATTATAGTTAGCTGTGTATCATTCACAAGATATTGCAGAATCAATCTCGCAATGGTTTGGCTGTTAGTGATTTGACTAGCCAGTTTACATCCAGTAGTTACCACTGGTGGGTTCAATCCCGGCTGCAGACAGTTTGTCTTCCGTTGATTTAGACAGGATTGACCATTTAGAAAGCAATGGTAAAAAATAAATGAATGTAAATTTCACCAAGAAAAACCACAACAGCCACACATAAAAATTACTGGGGTTGTTTCTGCAACGTCCTGTAAAGGATACACAACTAACTAGTTTATCACTGCTTTCTGAATTGTCAAAATCAGCATACACTAGTCTGCTGCAAAATCGCTGAGTAATTATGAAGCTGGTTCACAAATCCTAAGCCACAGACTTATAATTACATTTATAAATTACCCCATTATAAATATTTCTTTCCTGAACAATGTAAGCACAGCTTTCCAAACTGTGTGTCACGACAAATTAGTATACCTGTTGCCGTGTGACAGCGTTTCATGTGAATTGATTTTATTCGACTGATATTATTTAATTTCTTTTGATTACTTTTATTCATAAATTATAATGACATTAATCTTGGAAATATTATCTATTTTGCACATAAATTAAAGGTTTTCAACAGACAGGTTGTGACAGGAAGTGTGTCATAATTACATTTTACCTATGCATACATATCTATTATAAAGGATTGGTTTACCCTCTGGTTTGCTAGTAGACTGAATTACTGAGTTGCAAAATTAAGCATGCCTCAAAAGTGTGTTACCAATATAAAAAGTTTGCAAAGCTCTCAAATAAGCAAATAAATCAACTGTAACTATAGCAAACTTATGGTGGCTATGACAGTCTAGCGACCAGCATGCCTGCTTGCTCACTCCGTAATAATATATCTGAAATTCAATTAAGTTGGGAATTGTTTGCTACGGGTTAGGCTGGACTCCCAGGTCATCTAAGCTTTAAAAAAAAAAAGATACAAGGAAATATTCTGGGAAAAATAGCAGCCAGTGTGTCAAAGAAAATATCACCTATTAAGTTTTGATTGGTCTATATCAGTGTTTCCCAAAGTGACAGCTCCCAGAAATATTTGGTGTGGGTGGGGATAAGACCCCCCCCCCCCCCCCCCCACAACGTATGATAGGGCTAAGTGACTCCCCAAACCCCAACCCCCCCCCCCCCCCACCCCAATCTAACCATGCACTGAAGTTCTCTTTTAAAGTATTTGTTTACACATGTCCTATTATTTCAAATATATGATTATATTTACTTGCCATTCAGCATATTACTATTATTATTATTATTAGTTTTATTATTATTGTGCACTCAGACAATGCTCTGGTGCTTTGAGAGGCATCAGTAATGTGGTGCTATACCTAACCACACTATACACTAAGGTACTCGACGGGTGAAGTGTTAACACTGTTTCAGCCACCTTAACTTCACATGACACACTCACATATAGTCAGGGTAATAAAGACTTACAACTAATGTTCAACTAAAATTGGAGATATCTTAAACATGAAAATATGGTAACAATACAAATGCATTCTCACCTCCAGTAGCAACTGTAACATTAGTCACCTTGTGTCCATAGAAGTAGAAATCAAATTTCAGATCCACCATCTGGAAAAAAAAGTGCTGATGAATAATCATTTTAAAAGCATAAATATAACCACATTTATTTAATTAGGGCTGTCCAAACATTGTGTCATGATACATTAGTTTATTGGCTGCAGTACAAAGGTGTGTCAAGCAAAGACATTTATATATGCATCAATATATGCATCAGTATCTCTATTTAAGGGTTAGTTTAGCCTCTGATGTGCTAGTAGATAGAATTGTTTTGTCATGAAATTATATTTGTTAAAAAAAGGCAAAAAACAAAAACAACAAAAAAAGGACTGAAAGACGATCTGTATTTATTCAGTTCTTGAACCAGTACTCTAGCCCACACTGTTGCATTATCTTCCTTCGTTCAGCATTGTATATTGTTTGAACTAATTTAGACTTAACATTTATTATTTTCAAGTTATATACAGATCCATAAAACAGATGCGTATGCAAAACTCAAGCCCTGGAACAAGACCAAAGTCCAGACATGGATGAACAACCAAGACTTTCAGCCAGAGTTCACACCTGGCAGAAGAATGAGTTAATCCCAAAAGACACCAGAAATTTTTTGTTTAAATCAGTACAGATTCACCTATAATCACTAAACAGACACCAGAGATGTATACACAATATGAAGATTAGCAGAGTAATAATACATCATTCAGTTTTGGAAAACGTTGCAGCAGCTCACTAGCTATCATGTTTCCCCTGAGGAAAAAAAAAGTTATACCTCAAAATTAGGCACAATTCTTCACGATATTTTCAAAACATGCCCTACCACAATAATAAACTCTAGTTATGATTGTTAGCTAGAAAAAGAGACTGTGGCCAATGCTTTTACAAGACCATTTCATGGAAAGACCAGAGCAAGTCATTATTCTAAGTCTTAGAACAGGACACAGTCGACTTCGCAGCCACATGTAAACACAAATTTAAAATCTGCAAATCAGCCATGTGCGCATGTGGACTGGCACCTGAGACAACAGATCATGCCCTCCAAGACTGTCCCAAATACAACATATCACGGCAAAACTTTTGGCCAAGAGAAACATCGGCGTGAGTCAAACTTTAGGGCTGGCTGAGTGAATTACAAAAGACAGTGAAGTTCATACTAGAAACAACAATGCAGATACAGATAATCTATTTCAAGCAAACCAAAAGAAGACGGTTTTACAAGAAATGGAGTTGCAATAAATTAGGCCGAAATTTTGGATTTTGAGAGTTATATCAGTGTCCCAGAAAAAGATGACACAACTGTTTGTGAATACATGTTCAATTTGTACACCAAAAAATGTAGATTTTTTTTTAATCTGAAAAAATTCCCCCCAAAAAGCCCTAGTGCATTTTTAAGTCAAAAAAATTAAGACCTAGTCTTATTGAGAAACACAGTAGAATGTTTGCTTGCTAGTCAAATCCACATCAGGTTGATTTTCAAAACTGACTGGGCTCCTAGGAAAAGCCCCAGAAAGTAAAGAGTGCCAATCAGTGCATCAAAATACAGTGGTAGCATCCTATGCTCAATTCACCCGAAGGAAATAAACTCATATATATATAATATATTTATATTATTAAAACAGCAAAAGCCAAGACGTACTGTTGCAACTCTACGGCTTGTTGACAAAGTCTCATGTCGCGAGGTATTCTCCAGATCAATCCAGTGTTCAGACAGCTTGTTTTGGATGACATCAGATGTGTAATAATCATAATGGTCCTGCAGGAAATGATTGAGAGTATAAAATAACCAGCAATTGATAAACTGATAAGAAATGGCAAGGCAACAGACATATGACATCATCCATTTTGTGCCGATTTGCCTAGAAATACAGGCCTAGCTCCAGATGTTAAATGTGTACCAAAAAAGTAAACCCCCTAAACTGACTATATATTCCCACTTTTGCTTTAGCTGTGGTAATGCAGTGGCTAGCATTCTTACCCTGCTAGCATGGTGGCCATAGTTTTGATCTATCTTAGCAAACTTTTAAAATTATCCTGAATTCCCAGGTTGACAGAGTATAAAACTGGTACCAAGAAATGCATTGGGAAGTAAAGGCAGATGGCATAATGTCAACCAATCAGCCATATTGTGTTTATAGGTATACAAAAGTATTAGGCTAGCACAATATGTGTCACTGTGTGAAAAGGGAATTAAGCGCGAATAAAATACACGTATTTTAACTTTCTGAAAAAATTAATTAATCCATAAACATGACTGCAGTGAAGAATCAAATGGATTTTATTCCCCAGACCTAAAATACAGGGTGACTCATACAGTGACCTTGTTGGAATTTTAACATTAATGTTTACGGTGAAATCAGACATCACAATGGCTTTAATAACCTTTTTATTCAGGAAAATCCCCCTAAATGCTTTTTTCATCAAATATATTAATATCCAAACATTATAAATGCTGCACAGGTGTAAAAATAACCAATGGCAATAATTAAGTATCTTACAAACAAGTCACAGAAGAAATGCAGGCTTGGGGGCATTTATGGGAAAATTGGTCCCTAGCGGACGTGCAGGGTTTGCAGCTTCCCAGGGGCGAAAGGGTTAATACAGGTTTGAACTAATAATCTCTGTTAAACTCAAAGAATGCAGACTCAGAACTTTGCCAATGCATACAGGCGCCACAGGATACTCTTTCTATATGCAATAGGGAAATACCAGGTCTGGCCAGTTGGAATTCTGGTGGAAACCAAACAAGATAGATCAGTGGAGGACATGGGTCACACCACAGCCTTTGGCAACCTGAAGTTATTTCATCGTAAAAGGTAGGGACAATGACAAGAAAATCTTTGTAAAAAAAGGCCTAGGGACAAAGACAAGAAGATGTTTGTTAAAAGAGACCTATAACAAATTTAAAAAATATATATATGGTCGAAGGAAATCTTAGCTGTAGATAAGACATTTAGTATAAAGACTGAAACAAAGCTTTGTGCTTTCTGATGGAGCCCATAAGGAGAGCAACAAATAACACTAGTCTGCACTGAGGTTGACACAATCCTAAAATGCGAATGAGAAAATGTCCTGGGAAGTTTAATGCATCCCTCACTGACTGCACAGTGGTTCAAAATATATCCGTCTGTCACCATATGCCAGATGCAACAATGGCATGAAAAAGTCCTTAACTAATACTTTAGTAAGTAACTCCACAGAGTAACCTGCCGACTCTATGGTTACGGGCGGGAAAAAAAAGCGAGAAAGAATTTTAAAACTGATCATGACTCCCTGATCAACCCAGTCTAAATTAGGCAAGAGAAAACATCCTGAGAAGTAAAGGCAGCAGTACAAAGATGATCATATCCATCGATGAGTGTCAGTTATACAAATTTAAGTCTATACAAAAATATGCAGCTAGTATCATGCAGCAGAGGCACTTTAAGGCATAGAAGGTGCCTTTTTTTTTTTCTCGGTGACCACCAGCTGTGGAATAGCATTAACTACAAATCACAACTGAAGATACCTAACCATGTAAATATAAAGATCCTCTTTAGTCTTCAGTGACCAATGACGAAAAACAAGTTAGTTGTGTATCCTTTGAAAGATATTTCAGAACCAATCCTGACATTTGTTGGTTGATTGTGATAGTACAAGATCATTTTAAGTTCAGTAGTTTGCCACCACATTCTGCATGGCAATGCTTATTACTACTGCTAAAATTAAAGCAAAGCAGTTCTGCTGTCAAATGACCCGCAGCTGGAATTGAGTCCGGTATTTTGGAGAAAAAAAAGCGCGACCAAAAACAAAACTTACATGAATTATATCAGCATCTTCGAATGGGTTATCCTCTGGGCTGGCACTTCCGTTATTTGATCCTTCAATGTTTTGTTCTTTGGGCAAGCTTGTAGTAGTTTGGGGTGTCAGTACAGCACCTTTTGTAGATGTTACAGATAAAGCAGTGGAGCCATTACCCTCTGATGCAATTGGCCCTGGAAGAAATATTATAATGATGCATAGATACTTTGCTGAATACAATTCTACTCTCAACGGCATAAAAACAATTTCTGTTCTGGTTCTGCAAAACTTGGCGGTGAACTGATGCATGGCAAGGCAGATGTCACAGAGGTCCTGTGGGTGCAGGTGAACCACATAGAAGACAGAGCAAATCACCATGATCTAGTACAAATTATTCAAGTGGGAGAGATCAGAGGGCTGATGCTGAGGCGACAAGTTAAGAGAACATAAAATCAGACTATTAACTGGTACTGGGGTCAGCCTCTACTATGATTTAAATATGCGTGCAAGCAGGACATGAATAATAAAGGTATTGAGGTGTATTTGTGAGGACAGAATGCCATGGACTGTGTTGCAAGGAGAGAGAAAATCAGAAAGTGAGTGGGGATAAAATGATAAAAACTGCAGACTGGTTAAAAGCATCTGAGATGTAGCATGTTAAATACATGTGATCACAGCAATGGCTCAGATTCCTCATCTTCTAATTGTGGAAAACTTTTCTTAAAGTAAATAGATCTTGCTGGTCACACTCACCATCACCATGGGATGTGATTTCAAGTCTCCCTATAGTATAACACTATTGCCTGGAAGGATGGAAAGTGTCAATGTAACCTGATACCTTTGTATTGGAACTCTGTGATTCCATGTCTAGCTACAGATTAACACTATCATCTGGAAAGATGGAAAGTTCTGATGTAATTTGATACCTTAGTATTGGAAAGCTGTGTTTCTATGTCTCCCTATATCATAACATTATCATCTGGAAAGATGCCAATGTAGCCTGACACCTTAGTAATGGAACTCGGTGACTCTATAAGGCATAACAATTTTCCTTCAAAAGATGGAAAGTGCCAATGTAACTAGATACCTTATTATTGGAAGGCTGTGATTCCATTTCTATCTATAGCATAACACTATTGCTTAGAAAGATGGAAAATTCTAATGTAACCAGATACCTTAGTACTGGAACTATGATCCCATGTCTCCCTATAGCATAACACTGTTGACTGGAAAGATAGAAAGTGCCAATGTAACCTGATACCTTATTAATCAAACTCTGTAATTCATTGCCTCCTACATCATAACACTATCATCTGTATAGGTGGAAAAGTTCCAATGTAATTCGATTCCTTAGTATTGGAACTCTGTGATTCCACATCTCCCTATAGCATAACTCGTCTGAAATGATTAACAGTGCCAATGTAACCAGATACCTTAGTAATGGAACTCTGAGACTTCATATAGCATAACACTATCTCTTGGAAGGATGGAAATTGCTAACGTAACTGTATATCTTAGTACTCTGTGATTGCTGCTGGAGTCAAGGACATCACAACACAACTCCAGCATTAGAAAGAATAAGAGCAGAAAGTATGGTACTAGAAAAAAAAGGGGCAGGGGATAACCAACAGGAAGATGGGCACAGGATTTAAGTGACAATTTAAGTTGTAAAGTACATGAGCTGGGAGAGCTGGCAAAGGACCCAGTTTCTTACGGACAGACCATGATGACAGCAACATTCCGCAAAGGATCTGCTGCAGGATGATGATGATTTTGCAATGCCATCTGTTTGGCACAATGATCACTGTTTGCTTGAAGATAATGTTGTATTGGGCCACAGGGAGACACCAGAATATCGGCCCATGGCGATGGCAAGTGTGACAGGCAAGACTTCTTCGACACTATTATGATGCCTAAACTACACCAGTGATAGTAAAGCACATAGAAAATAATGAATATGGAAAGTTAACTGCATAAAGAGGTAAAACTATATGCTGAAATACGAAAGTATCTGGATAATAAGGACCACAAACAAGTGCTTTAACAGAGAAGTAAATTGTTTGCACTGGCGAGATGCAGAGGTGCTAACTACAAATGGTGGTGCAGCAAGACCTGGGCTCATACTGGCATAGACCTAACCCAATCTCCACATGGTCATCACAAAAACAGGCTTCAAACTGGCAGCCTGGCCAAGGTTGATGGCACTGATGTTCCCTTTCATTCATTTCTATCTCAGAGGCAAGAAGCCAACAGTCTGCACACAAATTAAATTAATCTGTAAACGGATGTGCACACAACACTCAAGTCCTGGAACAAGATAAAAGTCCAGAAGTGGACTAACAACAAGGACTTTCCACAGGAGTTTATAGCTGGTGAACATAAAGTAGCTGGCACTGGTAAAAGAGTTTTTGTTTCTGAAGAAGTCCCCTATCTTACAGGGTTACATAAACAAATGCTATAGTGTTTTAAAATATTTATATACAGTTTAATGCGTGATACAGGCAGGGTTGTTGTAAAAAAGACTACTGGCTCACTGGTCTTTCGTTAAGTCACAACATGGGACACTGGTCTTTATACTTCCACAGTTCCCTGTGTAGGCTCTGAGGCCCTCCTTTGGCTTCTATAATCTGAAAAGTACAGCTTTGGGACAGAAGAAGAAGTAACTAATATCAAAAGGGTTCATATAAAAGAAGAATAGAGCAGTGTTAGCAACTACATTTAGACTCTCCTGTACTGAAAAAGTAAAGAAAAACACCAAACATTGTCAAGAGCCACTTCAGTTCCACTTCAGTTTATGTTGCTATTACATCCTGGAAGATCATTTATCAGAAGCTGTTCCTAAATTTCATTTGGAATCTTTTAATTTTTTTAGAAACACCAATGTAGTGTTTTGAGTGTTTTAGAAACACCAGTCTGTAAATGTAACAGTAAAGGTTTTAAATCTGCACAGCATAATTCTCACTTGAAAGGTCACTGCTCCTTTATAGTTCTGACAACTGAAAATGGATATCCTACAGCTTTTAATATTTGGCATGAATATGCCTGTCTTAATTTGCCAAAGAAAGGCCAATGTGGTGCTTCACTGAAGAACCAATCCTTACAGAGAGGTTTGAACAACGGATCAACATCATGGCACATGGGTAGTAACCCACAAGTGCTCTGTTCTTCTTCTAACTCAAGTCCGAGTCCGAAGAAGGTCAGCATAGTGCACAGGCTCTGTGGCACTGGGGAGGATCCTGAAATACTTTAAGTAGATTTTTAACTTCAAATTTTGCCCGGGCAGCGCCGTTAGGCTACTCTTTTCGATTTCCAACTGCCAAGGGATTTTATATGTGCACAACAATGCAAACGGGCGTCCGATCTCACTACCCAGAGACCAGGGGGAATTACTAGAAGTCCAAGTCCACATTAAAAAATCCTAGCCCTTACCGGGGATTGAACCCGGAACCTCTAGTACTCGAGGCGGACACCATGCCCCAAGACCATACAGTCCCCTTTCCTTACTTAGTAAGAGTGGTAAGTATTTTAGTTCCACCCAGAATGAATGAACGAACGAATGAGTGAATGAATGAATCAATCAAGAATTGCCACCACTGAACTTGGAGCATTCTCACACGTGCTCTGTTCCCTTCCTCAGCAGCCAACAAAAATTTTCAAAAATGATGGTGGCATTTGCAACCTGATTAAAAGTTCACCTGTCTATTCTCTTGCATGTTGAAAACTACCCAGATCCTCCTCTGATTTCCCACTGAATCAGTCTCTCTAAGCATGGATTTTTCGTCTATTCTAATCCACTTTTCACCTGATCCGAGTCAGCCTTCACCATATCTGCTTTATCATAAAATAGCTCAATGCAAGTCTCACCTTTTTTTTTCTTCTTCAAACAATGTCCATCAACCTTTGCACTGAAACCCAACCCACTCTTTCTACCTCTCACTACCTATATATCTGACATCATGCAGGCATGAATTTTCATTGATCGGCTCTTGCATCAATGCCTCTGTTTAGTTTCCCCAGAGACACAACACAAGGGTCAATAAATTATGCAATGTGATGTCTATTACTTTTACAGACAATGGTACTGAATACCGTGTTTATTTTCAGTTCTTTCATTATTTATTTAAGAAATCATTATCATCATCTTCCACTTCTGTCATCGAGAATGATGGGAAAGAATTGTTGTGGGTCCGGCATTCAACTTGTGGCACTAACTTTTGACATTTTGTATGAATGAACAATGTCTTTAATATTATCAATTCATCTTCTTATTCAGCACCACCTTGCTTTTGTATAAAATCTTCCTAGATGTACTGTGTTGGTAACTGCTATTGCAGCATTCTAATGATATGCAAAAACTATTATCTTTCCTGTTTCTCAATGTATTTAGCACAAAGTATTGCTCCCGCAATCAGTCTGACAGTATTGTTTCTCACTCTGCCTCTGATGGTTTGCAGCTGTTCTGAAGCATTTCAGCTCACAAGTGTTTTAACTCTTTCACTCCCAGCAGTGCATACATGTTTCTTCTTCTTTTCCTTCTTTTCTGTCTTTGTCTACTTTCACCAGCAGAAAGTCTTGGTGTGTTGTCTGTCTCTGGACTGTGTTCTTCTTCCGGGACTTGATTGTTGTATGCAAATATATTCTCCAGATCTGGCTTGTTTTGTGCAGACTGGTTGTTCCTCATTTCTCAGTCACAGGTGCTGAGACTTTGAAGACAACACAGTATCTGTCTTCTGACTTACTGTGTGCAGACTGGTAGTTCCTCATTTCTCAGTCACAGGTGCTGAGACTTTGAAGAAAACACAGTTTCTGTCTTCTGACTTACTGTGTGCAGACTGGTAGTTCCTCATTTCTCAGTCACAGGCACTGAGACTTTGAAGACAACACAGTTTCTATCTTCTGACTTACTGTGTGCAGACTGGTGGTTCTTCATTTCTCAGGTACAGGTGCTGAGACTTTGAAGACAGCATATATTATATCTATGCTGGCCATGCCCTTAGTGGCAAATGTGTTTCTAGAACAGCTACACTGAGCTGCAGATAGGTCTTTACCAGTATGAGCCCAGGCCCTGGTGCTCCACCACAGCTGGCGATGCACTTCTGAATCCCTTTATCATGATAAACTGGCCACCAATGACAGCAACAAAATCAGTTATGTTATTGGATCATATTTACTGGAGGGAAAGGTCGAACAAAAGAGAGCAAGAGTAGGCAACGATTCAAGTGGTAGGAAAACATAAAGAGTTGGACAAGCAGCAGTCTGTGAGAGTATACCAGGAAAAGAGATAAAGCATGTTGGAGATTCATTACAGCCAACCTTATCTGTGGAAAATGCACTCGGTTGATGGATCATTTATACACACTTTATACTTCAAACCAATGTGTAGTGAGATTTCTTTAGCATGCTTCGGCTAGATGCAATAAATACCATCATATGGTAATTGGTCAACGTGCAGAATAACTGATCACATGTGAATGCATTGTTTAGGAAAGAAAGAGTTTAAAACAAAAAATTATTTATAAAAATGTTCAGGTTGCAAATGTGTTTTTATGCTTCAGTGAGACAGCAGTGTTTTTCCATCATCATCATGTAACAGATCTTGTGCAAAAATCTACTCAAATTATAACCCACTGGAAGACTAATTCTTCAATAGTCTGTCCGACCTCCTGCATTATCACACCCAAGTTATTTGTGTCCTGTGACACCTTCTACAAAAAACAAACAAAACTGAAATTTACTACCTGTATTTACCACTTTTGCTGTGTAGGTGGGGAGGTTTGTCTTTGAGCCCAAGGATTCAGAGCTGCATGGCTAGTGCTGTTTCAATGGACTGTGGAAGTTACAATTTTATTTCTGCCCTCCGCAGAAAAAATGTATGACCTTACTGTGATTCCAACCTGGGCCTCCTGTATGACAGACCAGTATTCTAACCATTCGGTCAGCCGCTCCTAGTCCTGTGACATCTTCGTTCAAGTTTAACTTGGTTTGCATGTTTCTTGAACAATGCCATTACTAATCTTTCTCAACAACAGTGATGTTCAGTACAATCAAAGTATTTCATTTCTTCAGACAAGATACTGTTAAAAATAGGGTTTTCTTCAAATTTTAGATTTCTTTTTCTTTAACAGCTGTCATTATGAATTATCTGGGAATGGATAATGTGGTAGTTGTGGCTTTAGACTATGTTCTGAGCTATTACTAAGCTGCTGTTGCTGCTGCTCTTCTTCTTCTGTGTTCAACCTTGAAAAGGCAGTTGGTACATTGTAGTGTGGTTTACAGCTAGCTGCAACATAGCTGTACTTTTCACCCCAACACATCCAATTTGTGCCCTTTTACAACATGTTTATTACAGAGCAGTGGGTCTAATTATTTTTTCCCCTCTAAAAATGGGACCCCAGAACTGACATGGAGATGCTAAGCTTGTCATTAGTTAGGTGAGTACCCTACTCTTTGGAATGTATGTTAAAAAAAACAAGTGCTCCATTTGCAACACATTAGAAGTTTGAAGTCAGTGTTAACTGAAATGGTAGTAGACAAGAGCATTGATTTTGGCATTGGTGAGAGCAACACACCATTCAGAAAGCAATGGCAAACCAATGACCGTTAAACTACCTAGTCAAACCTCTTAACAGTCAATCAATGCTGAGTTGGTTTATGATTTCCTATTGATTTGCAAATAATGCTACCATTTGCTTACTTAACCCAGAAATTACAGATTTGTCAATGTATATTCTTCATCTTCATCTGATCTATCCCAACTAGTGAGAATGAACCCACTGATGCCAGAAGCAAAGAGCTTACAACATGAAAATAGAAACAACATTAGGCAAAGGAAGACCCAAAAGTAGATGGAATAAAGAAGTCACTGACAGCTTAAGACCTCACAATATCACAGCACACCTCGTGCCCTGGCTTGAATACATATCATCTGTTAAACTATGATACCCAGTGGGACAAAGACGATTCTGACAAAAGAAGATCTTACCTTTCTCGCTGGATTTATCCGAAAATGTTGTGCCTTGGGTGTGAGATATTTCTGTAGATTTACCGCTAGCCAAACCATTAGCATCTGCACCTTGAGGATGGCTTCCATTTGTGTTACTCTGACGTCGCAACCGTTCATGAGTATGCTGTGCAAACTTTAGCAACAGGTTAGAATCTGATGATGGGAGTGGCTCATTTGTACCTGAAACCTGATATTGAATATCTGAAACGGCAGAAACATCTCAGAGTTAGAACTCAGCATTCGCACTTCTTGTGCCCTTTAATCATAATCATTAAACTTAGATCTCGGCTCTCCTTTAAATAACGGTCGCTAGCTGGAAGGCGACGGTCGCTTAGTCGGAGTTCACTTCCTTGGCTGCAGTGCAAATACGGAGTGGTATAGAGGGAACGAAACAACTGACATACTTACCTGTCATGCTACGGTTGCTTAGGGTTAGGCTAGGCTTAGGCTTAGGGTTAGGGTTTGGGTAAAACATGTAGCGTCGAGTACTTACCCATTATAACGGCCGCTATATGTGAAAATTTTCTAGTTTTTGATTCGTGACTTGTCCACTCCATATTTGCACTGCAGCCAAGGGAGTGAACTCCGACTAAGCGACCGTCGTCTTCCAGCTAGCGACCATTATTTAAAGGAGAGCCCAGATCTCAGTGGTGGAGATGTGGTTTTATAGATGAAAGATGAGAATAACATGGATAGATAAGAAGAATAATGAAGACGTCTTGAAAGAAACAAACTCACAAAGAGAACTGATTATTCACATCAGAAGGAGATAATCTATTTTTTTTGGTCATGTCAGGGGAAGAATATACATGGAGTATGCCGTGACTGGGAAAGCTGGAGAGGGAAAAGAGGCAAAGGGAGACCAAGAGAGAAGGTGCTGACCAGTCTGACATCATGGCATGGAAAAACATCTGAGTCAAAAATGACTGAAAGTGTATGAGACAGAAGGCTGTGCAGAGACATAACTACCAATGCCACACGATGTACACTACAAATAGAAGAAACTCAGAACAAGTAAATAATATTTAAAAAGGTTCAGAGTACAAAATGGAATTCTGGATGTAGTTTTAAACACTCAGAGAAAAACTCAATATACAAACTTCCAGTGTCCTTTTAATCATAATAATGAAACTCAGAATAAAGGATTCCTATTAAAAAAGACTCTAAAACTGCTATGAGAGTTCTTTGTTTAACCCTTTCCTCCCTGAATTCATATTTTCAAATCCCCAAACCTAGGATTCCATGTGAATTCTGGGTCATTCTGAAGAAGTTATAATTAAGAGTGTCACACCTCATATCTCAAGTTGCTGTTTTTTAATCAACACAATCACATCTGGTGCATCTAAACATTGTGTAGTCACAAAGAGTAACAAAACCACTGGCCTTCAGGAGCCTGGCTGTTTTTCAGGGATTTTTAACTAATTGCAGAACTCATATTTTGATTTATTGGGTTCATAGGATTAACAGAAAACATGAATAACCAACAGCTGTTATCCATGCTATGGTCATATATCTTTTTTTTTCCTTTATTTACCTTTGAAATAGTGGTTGGCATTTTGTTTTTCGATTTATATCTGGACTGTCATATCTGCCTCTTTCACCCTGACACATTTTATTTCAAGCAGGTTTAAAGACACCCCTCCCCCTTTTCCACCTACACTTCAAAAGTGGTAAACACAGGCAGTCAATGGCAGTTTTGGCTATACATGTATAAAATGCCTCAAAGCACAGAAAAGATCCTTTACTCACTTTTAGTAACAGCTTTTTGTGGTGGCAAGCAACCGTAAACAGTACTGGCGCTTATTTTTAGGAACAATTTGTTGTCACCGTTACTATAACAGAACATTACGGTGAGTGCCAGCATCTTTTTTCAGACACTTAGTGGTGTGTACCTGTACCATATTTTAATAGGAGAAATCTTTTTTTAAGGTTAAAATGAAATCTAGTATCGCTGCTTATTTCATGTTTTCTCTTTCTAATCTAATTATTTGTTGTTATTATCTAACCACTCACACCTTTGTTGTTTATGCTTTACAGTATCATGCTTGGCATGTGTATCTAAAAAAGATACCAAACATTATAAACATTTTTCCAGTGGGGGCAACAGTAATGGTATAAATGTTTGGTGTACACTGTTCAGAACGAATGGCTGTTATCTAGGACTTTGCAAAACTTAATACAGTAGAGTCCACTTAAGTCTAATGACAAATGTCGCTCAAGTCGACATGATCAGCTTAGTCCTGGTCAGGTTCCTTCTTTATCTATGTATATAAAATCCTGTTAAGTCGAATTAGGTTAACTTGAATATTTGGATAAGTAAGTAAAAAGTAAGAAGTAAAGATCCCTTTTCACTCCTTAAGCGTATCGGGTATATGGGAAGAGAGCCATATTTTTACAGACCATCGGCACTAGGTGGATAATGTGGTCAGTCTTACGCTGGCCATCTTTACTTCCCCAGGGCAGCCATCCTGGTACCCATTTTAGACTGGGTCGACCTGTGGCGCCTCATACCATGATAAAAGTCCACACAGCCAGCAGTGGGTTTCGATCGCAGTACGTTGGAATTACGAGTCGTATTCGCAACGCCTAAGCCATGGGCGCCGGGCATTTGGATAAGTGGAATCTAAAAGTAAATTCTGACTACAAAAATGTTCACATGTTTAAGTATCACCATTCAATATCACTATGAAAAAACTGTTTTATCAAAGAATTTTCATTAGTCAGCATGGGAAATAATGTGAAATCTTGCAGCTTTGATATTTCCATACATACAGTATTAACAATGACCACCGGCGGTCAAAAGCTGGCTACTTCAACTTTAAAAAGTAGAGATAAAACTATTGGAGAAACTGAACATAGTGGGAAGAAGCTATTTTAATGTTAAACTTTTCATGAAACAGAATTTTTCCCTCAACTATTGCAAACTGCTTTAGACAAGCTGGCTTCTTACCTGCATTAGATGTGCCAGTAAATGAGAATTCCTCACCATCAATGAGCAATGAGAATAATATTACAGTCATTACTTGCTAGATTGAATCAAGAGCTGAACATTGAACCAGAGGAGCTCGTGAACATTGATAATGTTTTTACCAGTGCCACTCTTTCAAGCAGTGATTTTCTAGGGCTTTGTAGGCTATCTTCTCAACCAACAGACCATTTGAGCCCTGAATCTGATGATGAGGATGACTGCGGACTGCAAGTACAACCTGTATCACAGTCAGATGTTTTGGCATGCATGTTCAAAAATTAACATTTACGTGATGCAGACTGGGTGCTCAGATGATGTAATCTCACCATTTGTTGCATTTAAACATGCCATAGAAAAACATTTGTCACAATCAAAATCACAGACCCTTTCTTTAAGTAATGTCTGAATTTCCATATGGTTGTAAAATAATTAAATATTTCAATATTTATTTGTTAACTTATGATGTTTTCTAACGGGTACATTTGTTTTATTTAATGTGACTGCTTGGTTTAAGTGGACATTCTCTATTATGTATGCTGTCTGGATAAGTAGAACAATTTTCCCTTCTACTTATCCAGACTCGACTGTACTCTGGTATTACTGGCTCTTACAAATCAAAAGAGAAAGAAGATTATTATGGCCTGGAGAGAATGAGGCACCTGGGTGTAACCAGAGGGTCTGGCCGGCTCACTACACTCAGAGGAAAGGCAAGACAGACTTTTAACCAGATTGTGACCGGTACCGTCAGTATTGGAACTCTTTGCTGGCTGCTGAAGATGAGAACAGAGCATGCATGGGAATGCCCTCGAGTGCTGTGATGTCAATTCTTGACTCAACTCAACTTACAAATCAAGAATATTTTGTCTAGACCCAATACAAACACAACTATAGATTCAAATGAGACTCTCTCTCTCTCTCTCACACACACACACACACACATTGTCTTCTCAATATCTATACATTTTCAATTTCTTTTCATAATCTCTTCCACTCTCTCTCTCTCTTTCACTCTCAACCTTTCACACCCGCCCCCCTCTGTTCTTATCCAACCTGACACCAGAAACATTTTTCTGAAACAAGAAAGTTCCATTAAAAAAATCAATTCTGAAATACTAAACCCTGGCTCTAGCAGTCTGATTGAGTTTCAAGCTCTGAAATAAAAAATGAATTACATTTTCCATGCTGTGTTTTATCTTCCAACGGTTTGACAGAAAAAAAAAGCAACATTACAGTGGGAATCAATATACATGTTGTCATGTCCTTAAACATCAGGAAACTGAATACAGCTGTCAATGAAACTGGATTCCAAAATAAACAACAATTATTTATCACCACCTTGTAAAACAGTCTATAAGGCAAAGATATAAGTCTGCTTGCGTTGCTGAAATACTGAGAAGTTTAATAGGGTGTTTAAAATCGAGAGACCTGAGTTCACTGCATCTGGTTTTGTTTGTTTGTTGTATCCTGTGATATGCCTCGGTTCATATGCATCTATAGCTGTCCGTTTATATGCAACTGTTTATACGCACCTATTGCTATGCATGTTTGTAAGCATCTATTGCTATGCATCTGTTTATATGCATATACTGCCATGCATGTATGTATGTATGTATGTATGTATGTATGTATGTATGTATGTATGTATGTATGTATGTATGTATGTGTGTGTATGTATGTATATACATATATTGTTTTGCATCTGTTTATAATTTTTTACATATATTAATTGTTTTGTGTCTGTTTATCAGCCTATATGTATTTATTGTTTAGCATCTACTGCTATGCATTTATTTATTTGCATGTTTGTATGCATCTATTGCTATACATCTGTTTATATACATCCCCTACTATGCATCTGTATATATGCATCTACAACTTTGCATCTATATTTTCTTTTTCCTTTTCTAACCAATAAAGTGAAGACTATTTCAGCAGATAACATGATGTGAGATGTGTCCAATCATTTTATCATAGCATTCACCAGTTGTAAACTCCTGCGATAAGTTCAGGTTTTTCATCCACTCCTGGATTTTGGTCTTCATCCAGAACTTGATTTTTGTGTGCACATCATTTTAAAGATCTGGTTTATTCATATGTAGACTTTTCGTTCCTTGCCACTCAGGCAGATGCACTCCGACTTTGAAGGAAACTTCCCTAACTGGTCACCTCCTATGGTATCTTTGTTAGGGCAGCAGTGGGTCTATTCTTTGTTATTCAAAATCATGCCCCGGGACACACAGGAAGAAGAAGTCTTTTACAAAAAAATGTATCTATTTAGGTCTCTTACTTCAAGCCTTTTACAGGACAGTCAATAGTAAATGACATACTTTAAACTATACCAAATGGTTACTTAACTCTTTAATATCAGACAGATGCTGTTCTTCAACACTTTCTAAACTTTCTAGTCTTTATCTTAGCCCCAAGGAAAGCATCCTAAGTTCACAGGTTGGTACCTAAAAGCCCAAGTGAAAGCAATATGTGCCGATTTTACGTTTCTCCTCACCACCCTTTGAGCCTCTGATGCTAAACCCACTGGGACCGAAAGAAGTTGAGTTCTCAGTGAGTTACAATTTTTGAAATATCGAACAAGATGAGTTTAAGTAGCCATATGTAACAGAAGAATGGGATGGAAGATGTTAGACTATATACCATGATTAGAGTAATGAAACATATGGCAAGTTGCCTAGTACTGAAAAACAAAATTAACTAATTTGTAGTCAGATACACACACAATTTTTTAGAGATGTAAAAAAAAAATGATATCTATCCTAGTCCTGAAAGAGTTAACTAATTTGTAGTTAAAATAATCCAAAGTATAATTATATCTATATCCATGAATAATCAAACAGCTAACGGGAACAAATAACCCAATTAGGCTGGTTATCTAGACCTCCCAATCAGTCTCCTGTGTAATCTAGAATCAAATTAAACTCAAATATAAATCTCCTGCTTTGCTTTCAATCAGTATTTTTAGACAGCAGAACCTTTGTGTTGCTAGGAAACCAGTAAAGATCACATCATCAGTCCCTAATAAAACAATAACCATTCTACTAACAAAGGTATAACATTTTTATTTCACATTGAGAAATAGTAGTTTTTTTTTTTTTTTTCCAACTCCTTTCTCATTCACACTTAAAAGGGTAGATGGTGCACTGTATTGTGGGCTGCAACAGCCAAAAAGGTCTGGGGTTGGCTCTGTTTAATTTGTAAAGGATATGAAACTAACTTTTATTAGGGGACACTTTGGTTCCCAAGTCAACCCAGCCACATAAATATGGGTACCAGTTAATGTTCTGGGATGTGAAGATGGCCAGTAGAATGTTAACCATGTCAACTGCCAACTGGTCCATAAAACATGAGTCTAGTATTATATGCCTTATGTACGACTGGTGTAAAGAGGAACCTTTACTTTGATAATGACAGAGGGGTCACTAACTGCAAAGTCATGGTTGTAAAGTGTTCAATGTGAACTAAAAGAGATTTAGAAACTGTACTAAAAGTACATTCATGCATGTTTTCCAGCTGGTTAAAGACATTTGTCAATCAATATATCATGTAAAAACTTGTCATATTCAGGGGGGGGGGGGGGGGGGGGGGGGGGTAACATTCTCTTTTTCTTCTTACAGTCGATGTTCCTAGTCACATCTGTCTACATCTTTCTGTGTCATGTACTGTCAATTATCTCACAGATAGAAGTTCTTCCATGTACTCACATCAATCTGTCCAACATCTTCTCCCTTAATGGCCAAGACAACATAAAGGTCATAAATACAGGCAGTAACAAAAGCATTTTTAAGCAAAGCTAGCAGGTGCTCTTTGTTTAATTTTGGAGCAAATCTCAGCAGTAAATTATTAAATTTTTTAACTAGCCTTTCTCGTGTGTCAGTATCCCTCTACAGTAATATCTTCTGTCTTGAAATCCCTTTTCCTCTCTTCCCTTCTAACTTTCCTGCTGTCTCAACGTACTTCAGTCTTCCTGTTCTCATGATGTACGCAAAGAGCACAGATTGTCGTCGGATGTAAATAATCAGTTCTATTTGTGATTCACCTTCTTTCAAGACATCTTCATTATGCTTTTCATCAGCCAAGATGTAACCTACTCACCAGTAG